GTTGTTACTTATTGACATGGGGTCAATTGTACTCACACTACATTTCTGCACCTTGCGTGCAGATTTTGGATGTTGATATTGATGTGTATGGCGGGAGCTAGCATTGAAGATGTACCTGCGTTCCGATCATAACTGCCTCTTGTTCTTGGTAGCTTTAGAATTATTAATCTGTTCATGTATATTTCAAACAGATGATGTATTTCTTTCATACCATCTTTGTAAACTCTAAGTCCTAGAAGCTCATGATTTGTACTACCAGTCCTTGGGAATTCTTTGTATAGAAGTTTCGTTATATTATCATTACATTTCTCAGTAAATCTCAATGAATTGGATTATTGTTGCTAATTGGCTTACCTAGCAGGTTGGGTTAGGTGCCATCACGACTAGTTGGACTTTGGGTCGTGACAAATATCTTAGGTGCAAAGAAATTATGATCTATACCGTTGCTAGCACAGAACTCAAGAAAGTTAACATTTTCAAATTTAGTTCCATGCTCAGATCTAATGCCAACTACTTGATTGTTCAATTTTCTTCAAAAGTCACAAACATATCATATGTTTCATCCTTAGTTGTCAGAAGTATAGTCCAGATAAACCTACAATAATCATCAATAGTTACTAATACATACCTCTTTTCATCTCTACTTTGAACCCTCATTGGTCCACATAAGTCCATGTGAAGTAGTTCTAGAGGTCGAGAGGTACTTACCACTTTCTTGGATTTGAATGATGATCTGACATGCTTACATTTAGCAAAAGCATCACTAATTTTATCTTTTGTGAATTTTGACTTTGGTAAGCCAAGGACCAGGTCCATGGAAATTAATTTGTTCAATATAGAAAAACTAACATGCCATATTCTCTTATGCCATGGAAAGGAGTCAGTATCAGCTTTATAATTATTTTTGTTCCTTTTTCCTTGGAGAACCAGGTTGACAAAAATTTCATTTGTAATCATACAGTTTTTAGAAGTGAAGAGGAAATGGTTACCTTTATCACACATTTGGGAAACACTCAACAAGCTGTACTTCAGACCTTTAACATAATACACATTTTCAATAGCATGAGAGTGAGACTTACCATTCTTACCTATACCGATTATATTTTTCTTTTTGTCATTGCCAAAGCCCACACTCCTTTAACATGCTCTCAATGAGAGAAAATTATCTGTATTTTCAGTCATGTGGCGGGAGCAAACACTATCCACATACTACCAATTCTTGCGTCCTCTCACCTTAACTTGCAAACATATTCAGGGGTTAGCTTTAGGAACCCAGACAAGCTTGGGTCCCCTTTTTGAGTAAAATGATGAATTACATTCTTCTTAGTCCATCCTAGTAGTTTTTCACTTTTCAGTGAAGAACCAGGTTTCATCACTTTTCTTTTTTCAACATATGCAATATTTTTCAGGCATGCTTGAATTCTAGCTATGCATGTTTCTTAAGTGTTCACTATTACCACAGTGAGTGCAAAAGCGATTATTAGGAATGTCTACATACTTGCTATGAGGATTATATGGAATTTTAACCTTAGTATGTCCTAGACCTTTTTTGTTGCAACGGTGGTTTCCATGTATCTTAAACATTATTTGGGAAGAGCTGGTCCATTTTAAGTTCTTATCTAATTCAAACTTGGCCTTATCCAAATTTTTTTGAAGCATCCTAACCTTTTCAGATTCAACTAGCAGATTTTTATTAGCTTATTTTAGTTCACTCTCTAGTTTTTCCTGAATATCAGTGGCTGGGTCTTTAACCTTATTGGGAGTATTGAACAATTTATTGTTCTCAATTTCTAAGGTAACCTTTTCATCTTCCAACACAAGAATCTAGTCCTTTCAAATAGAAAGACTTCAAGGTTTTCTCTACTTATTTTCAAATCTGTTTATTCAAACCTAAGTGATGCATAATCATTCATCAACCGTTCCTTTTCATCAGAAACCTTTTGATATGCATCAATCAAGATAACATACAAGAAAATTAATTTATGTTTAGAGTAGGGATGTATTTTATTTTTGATGTCTTGAAAACTTACCTCGTGTTCTTCTTCCTCATCAGCATTAGAGTCTGAGTTTTGCCATCAATTCCAGGAGATCTTCTGATTTTGAATCACTGTCTTCCTTATCCATCAATGATTGATCTTCATTGTCACTTTCATCATCATCATCATTAGACTCATTGACTGAAGATGATTGCATGGCAGCCATTTTTCATAATTTTGTCCATAGCCTTATTTGTCATCCTTCATCCAGGAACCTGGTTTCTTTTCTGTTGTTTTCCCTTTTCAAAATTGTTCCTCTTCCACTCAGTTTCCCATAATGGACAATCTTTGATGAAGTAATATTTCTTTCCATACTTGTAGCATCCATCATTGTTGTTTTTTCTCTATACTCTTAGGTTTGGATGAACTACCTTTCTTCAGAAATTCACCTTTCCTTATTGCTCGCTCGAAGATTCTAGTAAGCAGTGCCATATCATCTTCTCCAGTGTCCTACTTCTGAGTGGTCTTGAAAACCAAGTTGTTGGCCTTGCAAGGTTCAGCAGATTGTCGATCTAGAGGATCCTGATTGAGTTTTAACTCATAAGAATCCAGATTTCCAATGAGATCATCAAAAGTCATTGTGTTCAAGCTTCTTTCTTCAGTAATTACATTGACCTTGCTATCCCATGAGGAGGGTAGTATGCTCAGTAGTTTCCTCACAGTTTTGTTACGAGGGACAACTTCTCCAAGAGATATCAGCTCATTAATAATCGATGTGAGCCTTGTATGCATCTCCAAGATGGTTTCCCCCTCTTTCATCTCAAACAGTTCATATTGCCTGTTAGCATATCAATTTTTGACTGTGTTTCACTTGAGAAGTACCTTCATGAGCATACTACAAAGCATCCTATATATTGATTTTGCTTCTCTATATGTTGAGATCCTACTATATTCATCCGGACCAATTTCACATATCAGAATCTTCTTGGCTTTGGCCTTCTTTTGGACTCCTTTTACATCTTCTTCTGAATATTTTTCTCTTGGCTTTCGTCCATTGGGGATACCTTTGTCATCAACCAGCATGGGAATCTTTGGTCCCTTCTCAACAATATCCCAAAACTCCAGGTCTTCTCCTTCCAAGAAATCATGCATCCTTTCCTTCTATCGGCCATAGTATTTTTCATTAAACAGTGGTGGCCTGCTAGTTGATTGTCCTTCTTGAGCATCTGGTGGTGCAACCATTATAGATCCTTTCAAGGTATTAGCCTCTTATAAAAGAACCTGCTCTGATATGAATTGTTATTTTAGGATACACATAGACACAAGAAGGGGGGGTTGAATTGTCTTACCTGATTTTCGTGATTTCAAAGAACCTGATTGTTTGAACTATCCAAACAGACACAAACAAAAATAATTGCAAAAAATTACTCAATACAAAGATTTTTACGTGAAAAACCTCCTGCTTAAAGGACTAAAAACTACGACCTACCTAGTAGAATTTTCCTCAAACCTCCGCTAAACTTCAAAGAATAATTTTTAGGTTACAACTCTATAACCAAGGGGACTAACTCTAGTACCCTAACCTCTACAATCAACTCAATTGTAGCAACCCCTTCCCAAACTAAGCTCTAGTCTAGGAAGCTTACAAAAACTGAAGTTTCAGTAATAACCTACTATGACACTTCTCAAAAAGCATTTAAGCAGCTTCATTTTCAGGAAATGTTTCTTCACTCAATTGCTGTGATTGTTATTGTCAGAAGTTATTTTATGCGATTTTTTCAATAGCAGTAGTCTTGAACTATGACAAAAAGTCTTCTTTTATAGTTGCAAGGTTGGCCGAAAATCTTTTTAATTAATACTCCAAAACCTAAAATATTTCGGTTAAGAAAAATCTCTCCTATTTAGATTTGGTTTCCTTATTTGTTTCCAACTCCTCAACCTTCTCTTTCTACACAAGACTTTCCCATAAATACAAAATCCTTTTTTATCCACGAACTCCTCCAATTGACATATTTCTTTTAGGGTACGGACAAAAGCTTCCAAAGATTCCAACTTACATGGGTATACTAACCATCCAATCAGCATTCTGCCACTGGTATGCTACGAACTTGGTTCACTTGGTATTCGTATTTCTTATCTGCATACCGGTCTAATAGCACACCAACCTAGAACATAAAATCTAGTTCTTTCAACATAATCAATCCGAATTTGTTAATCATCAAAGCGTAGCACGAGCTCAGCTCAACCCATTTAAAGAAAAGGAAAAAACTGTAGATACTACTTTGCAAAAGTATAAAATTGACTGGTACAACGAGTCTTACTCCTCCCTCTTACTTTTTAGAGCCCGTTTGGATTAACTGATTTGAAGTAGCTGATAAGCATTAGGGGTTGAAAAGCACTTTTAAGTGTTAAAACTTATTTAATAAATAAGCAGTTACGTGTTTGGATACAAGTGCTGAAATTGATAATAAACTACTGCAGTATTTGATAAAAAAAATGCTAATAAGTTCTTTTTGTATAAGAGCGTAATTTCTTCAAAATTTTAGATTCCAGATCGATTCAAATACAAAATATTATATTTGTCATTTTATTTTAAATATAACTGTGCTTAGATAAGATAATTATTATGATAAATATAATACATTTTATGATAAGCATATAATCATAAGTTATAATAACTAATAAATTGAAAAAAGTTTCTCAGTAAAAAATAAACCTAAATAGGACAAAATATTTGAAGAGAAACAAACATTGTCTTCATCACCACAACACTTAGAAAGCAATACACTAAAAATTTGATATGTTCTCATTTATTACATACAGTTTAAAGATTAATACAAAATCACATAGATACAAATATATAAAGGAATAGAGAATTTACTTATCTTAAATAATCAATAAGAATTCAAGACTCAAAGAAGGTTTAGGTTGAAATAATACTTGAGGCAATGAGTATTGATGTAAGAGTTTTGTTTTAAAAAAGAATATTTTAAGGATAAATAATAAAAATCTTGGTCAAAATTAAAGTGATTTGTAAGCTAAGCTTAGCCAAAGATTCTCATTTTTCACCATCTCACCTCCAATTGACAAATCAAACGGCAACCGCATCAGCCAAGAGATACCAGAGTGAAGACGATGCAGCAGCAAAGGCAAAGGCCATGGGATAATCTACCAAGCTCAGCTCTTGTCAATATATTCTCCAAATCCTCCCTCAAAGATCGTCTCTGCAATCTCCCCTTTGTCTGTAAATCATGGGCTAACTCCTCTCGCCATCCTCACTGTTGGGCCTCCTTCATCCCCGACTCTTACTACTCATTTCCTCCGCCGCCGCTATCTTCCTCTGTTGTTGCTGTCGATGCCTTTGTTAAATCTTCCTTCCCTTATGACGCAGCTTTTTTGGACCCTTTTGATGGTAGACGCAACAGCGATCCTCAATGTGGAGTTCTTGTCCTTCAATCTCTCATCGCTAAAGCTGGTGGTGGAGCCGCCGTGACCTCTGTCTATTTCCTCCCTTTTCTCACTTCTCTTGATGGCCCTCCCAATGATGACGCCCTTCTTTCCCTCATCGCTCGATCGTAAGCCCTCTTATTTTCATTTTAAATTATCTGCCTAAACTAATTGTTTGAGTTATAAAGAGTTATTCAAATATTTGACATTTTATTCATTCATTATAAGTAATCAACATGTCCAAAGTCACGTACTAATTCGTATGAATCGACTCAACTGAAAAGCTTAAATTGATTGAGATAGTGCATTTTAAATTTATTTATTTTAAGTAGGATAAAGGTACAAATTTGTACCTCTTCTGTACAAAAATGATTTTAATCTTTGCCATCCCTTTTATTTTGGAGGCATTCATACCCTGCGTTAGCAGATTGTCCCTTGACTTTAACTAGCTCCATCTTGAACTGTGTGTCTGTGTGGACAGCACGTTCCAAAACACTTTCGGTAAAGGTCCAAATTGATACATCTACTTTTGACTATAATTTAACATAAACACCGGTTGGAACGAATGACCTCCAAAGTCTAATGAAGGATAAAACCAGGATACATTAAATAGATGAGTATTTTTGGTCCTTATCCCTTTAAGTATGCAACACATCTCATCACACCGATCTAATTCTCCTTCTTGAACCAAACACATGGAAAATTGTTGATGGCTGGTGAGACCTTTGAAGAACCTATTACCTGCTTTTGATAATTTGTTGTAATGTGTGATGCGGACCACTTTAACTAAAAACTTAAACAGAGATTTCTGCAACATTGTACTCTTGGATTTGCTCAATCCACAAGACTTCTAATGTCCGTCTTATTTTTTCATAGATGTCCCAATTTGAAGCATCTATCATTTCATGGATCCTTCAATGCCTCTGAAGAAGTCTTATTGGAAGTTGTACGTAGCTGTCCCTGTCTGGAACTTGTCGACTTCTCTGATTCGCCATACATGATCCCCTTGATTTTAGAAAAGATGGGGATCCACTGTCCTAGTATCAGAGGCATTAGACAAAATGGAAATCTGCAACCTTTTTGCTCATTCAGCCTCGTGAAATGCTTCCCAAGTTTGAAGCTTTTAAACCTTTCTGATTCAAGCATTGGTGACAAAGATCTGCTGACCCTTGTTACTGGTGATTCAAGACTTGAGTATTTGGATATCATGCGCTGTCAAAGGTTGATACGCTACATGTACCTAATTAAGGGAGCTCATAATCGAATTGCTGAAATTCGCTATGATTGAGTCACTGGTCATTTTGATGGTTCTCCAATTCTGCTGATACGGAGCTCATTTTGCTCAGATAAGTTCTATTGCTATCATTCTGCATGACAGCATGATTTTTGTTTTTTGTACACTTTCTGCCAACTGCTAAATTTTCTAGCCTATCTATATTTGGGAAAAGGTCTGTGTTCGAGATTGTATTGTAAGAAGCTTATGTTTTACTTTTTATAAGCCTAAATAAAGAACAGCGTTTAAGTTCAAACAGAAAAGACAACTAGTTGCAGTTCTTAAAACATCCTACTACAGAGAGATTTCTACTGTAGCAACAAAATGTTTAAATATTCTAAAATTGCACCTAATGATAGATTCTAGCAACCTGGAAATAGAAAGTGTGAGTTTGCTGCTTTCTTAAATATTTGCATGGTCTAGTGTTATATTTGATTTCCTAAAAGAGCCAATAAGAGAGGTGGGTCCATTTCAGGAGATTCGTGCTGATACCTTACTTCTGGTATTCTATGCCAGTTTCTGTAACCAGACTTGAAGGCATAAAGAGATTTACATTCTTTGCACTGGTCAATCTGCTCATCAGCAAACAAGTTGGTGTTCATGTATATGGTCGTACTGTTTACAGATAGATTATTGACTTGCACTTCACGCATTTTGCACAAGCAATCATGTATCATGGATGTGAGGAACTAGATGAACTCTTGGGATGAAGCCAGTGGAGAGTTGAACATGCTGCCTTAAGATATATATCCCTTTATTTTAAGTTTTTATGTCAACTCTAAGTCTCAAGCTTCCGACACTGAAACCTGCTGAAGCTTGAGGTTGAAATAAGTTTTGCAGAGGTAAGAGTACAAATTTGCAATGAGTTTCTGATTTGGACAAAACTGATGGAATCTTTGTTGATCAGTTACTTCAATCTTTTCTTAGAGGGATCCTTTTGTGTGTTTTGGCTTATTTTACACCAGTTTCGTGGTTCATAAATTGGGAAACTGAGTAAAATGGTCCCTCATGTATAGGGATTGGACTATTTTAGTCCTTGATATATGTTACTTAAAATAATTAGTCCTTAATGTATACAAAAAGCAGACAACTTTGGCCTCAACCCTAAAACTGACTGTTCCCCTCAAAGGATCTGTTAAAAACTTACCAGGGTAAACAGTAAAAGAAAACTCTTTATGCTTGTGCAATACCAATTGCCTCCAAACAACCTCGTGCACAGATTTATGAGTGTGAGGAATTACGTGTACGCTAATTCATGGGTGGCTCATCCCCTCTTCTAAAGAGCAACTGTAAGGATTTCAGCTCTTATAGGTTTACTTCTGCATCTTTGAGATGAATTCCGTTTCCTATTCCTAAGGCAAGGGTTGGCTGAATAAGAAAAGTGTTGGACACATCTTCTTTTTACAACTAAAAAAGATGTAAAAAATTGAGTCCCTGCCTATTAAGTTATTAAGCATTTAAGGATGTAAACTTAGAATAGCTTGGCTGAAGGGCGAGTTTAAGATCAGAGACATAGCCGTGTTACTGAGAGAAAAAATGCACAGAAGAGATTGAGAGAGAAGCACACATAGCTAGCCACTCTGCACCCGTCAGTCCAAACGCCCTACAGTAGAGAACATCAAATGCCTCATCTTCTGCTATTTTTTCAGCAAAAAAGTTCATCTAAAAAGCACAGACTCATCCTGTTAGTTTAACGGATTCTGCGACTTCTTCCATTAATTTTAGTGTTTACGACCAATAATGTCCACCTTTTGTATATATTATGAACTATTTCTTTAGGTAATATATATATCAAGGACTAGAATAGTCCAACCTCCATACATTAAGGACCATTTTGATCATTTTCTCTTCATAAATCACGTGTATCTGCTGTGCCAGTCAACAACAAAACAAAAGAGACCTGTTATGAGAAATCATAACAGCTGGTTGTAGTTTAGCTGGTGTAACTTAGATAGCAATAGCGGATAAAAAAGATATATTCATTGAAGTGGAGCGATTACAACAACTATAGTTGACGAAAACAATATTCACTAAAGAGGAACGTGTGTTCAGTTACACTACAATGAGAGAAAGCGCATTCCAAGCGATTCTGCAAGAAGCGGCAAAATATCTTCTTGCAAAATCGTCAGCCTATGGGATGTTCTAATAGGGTTCTCATCTTTGGCTTTTCATCCCACACAAAAGTTATATATACTTCTACTGTCGTTACTGTCTTGAGATGAGAGGAATTGTCTTTATCATTGCACTGGGAATAATGGCTATCAACTGCACACACGGAAAACACAAAATTCACCCGCGCTATCCGATAAATAGACTTAGAAACTAGAAGATCGCAGCCAGTTTTTGGGTTGTTAAATAGCTCTCGATCGGGAACACCCCCTCATACTAAGTAATTTTCACTTTTCAGATTGAAATCATTGGCTTGTTTATAAATGTACTTACCCAAGCAAGGCCAATGCACAGGATGCTAAAGCCAGGGTATGGAAATGGAGCTTTCTCTGAAAGGAACAAGGCTGGAAAACCAAATGGTAAGAGTTAGGTTCATACGGAGAGAGAAAATATTTTGCTATAGCGGACATAGCACTTTGATTTACCTGTTAGAGGACTATACATTAATGGGGAGAGAATATTAGCTACGGAACTTATACTTGAAATGCAACCTTGAGCAATTCCCTAGTACGAGAACAAGAGACATTGATACTTCTCAGAATGCATTTTTAGTAAAATTTGATGTCGGTGTATATCCACCCAATAATTAGTCTGATTCTCAGATTAGTGCAACTAAGTACCTGTTCATTAGGCCCAACTTGTTTTGAGACAATGCTTTGAAGCTACACGTCACAAAACATCCATCAACCATCATAGCAGTAGAGGAAAGAAAAAGACAAAGTGAAAGTAAGTCTGAAAAACTCACAGAGGGTTTCACAAGGGAGGTGAAAATAGGCAGCAATGCAGCAGTATAAGGGATCTGAAAATCATGCCATTATGGAGTCAACATGCTTGAAGCATGAATTCACAAATAGAAAATTTGAGCACAATGTTTGAACGCTTACCCAAATTGACCGTGCTATACTGTCAATAAGCAGCTGCAGAATTAGGTAAAAACAGACTGAAAATTAGTCTTTGCCCTCCTCTAAAGGAGGGCGGATCAAATCTATGCCTATGTGCTTAGTGTATTCCATAGTAAGCATTGGATCATGAGGGTGACTTGAACACAAAAATTCCTGAAAAAGTACATGTTAAGTGTTCACATACGTTTGTAAATCCAGCAGTCAGTCCTAAGCATAGCAGGACCTCCTCTCCTATAAGAGGAGCCAACATAGGCATGAGGAGCAACTGCATGATTTTGCAAACTTCCAAAAGTTAATACACAAAATATAACCGTCTGAAGCGTAGAAATAAATAAGTAAAAAAAAAAAAAAATACTAGCACCAAAACTTAATGGAATATAAACAATAAAAAAAAAAAATTAACTAGAAATACCTGAGAACTTGCAGAGCAAATGTTGGCTATAAGCATCACATCAGCAAAGTTATCTTTCTTGAAGTGAAATCGAGCCTTTAAGAAGTACTGCAGGGAACAATTAAAGACGCTATCATATGATTGAAAGAAGTTAGAGTGGCCTTCCAGAAGCTCCATTTGCTCATGAAACTTCATATTATCATGTACCCAACCTTATTCTCAAGATGAGCCAGTTTTCAACATGTTTAAGTTTCAAGGACTTACTTTATTCTGAATATATGAAATGCTTATACCTTACCTTTCATCAATGAATGACCAACTAACACTTGAGAAAGTAAAAAGAAAAAATACCTGAAAGGGAGCTTGTTCTCCACCTTCTGCAACACTATTCAAGAAAGCAACAGATGCTGCAAGTGAAAATGTAGCACTGCAACAAGACAGCCAACAATTGCCATCATATTTCTTCACATGGTTCTATACTTTAATGAATGATGGCAAAGTTAATTGAAAACAGACTAAACCTAGAGGAATACCTTTTTTTTTCACAGAGTACTCGCAACATATATCCTAATGCAGATAACACAGAAGATGGAAGCTAAAATGGAATGGTACTCCATTTGGTACAAAATCTTTAGTTCTTGCAGAAACTCAGTCTCTATATCAAACCTGCTCCTTTGGGAAGAAGGTCAGGGGAGATTTGGGTTGAATAATTGACTGTAGCTGAGGGTTTTTTAGCTGCATACGTTTCTTAACACTTAATATTTAGCTAGATGACTCAACACCTAATAGCGCTTCTATTGATAATAGAAGAAATGATGATATAATTGTGTACTATCTTACCTCTTCTTAAGAAAGCAAATGATATCCTTCAGGGATGGAACTTTCTTGAACACCTTTATAATCTTTGCTGTCTCGCAATCCAATTCGTCATTTTCCATCTCACTTTTCAAAATTGGCTGCTCAGTAGAATCTTCAAAGCAAGCTGTATCCTCTAAAAATATTTGCATGTATACAGAAGCAACTGTTGATGCAATTGCTGCTACCTTTATCAATAAAGAGTAGCATAAGGTCAGAGTCAGACTAACCAGAACTATATTCCCAGAACACAACCAAACTAAATATAAGGATTTAAAAATTTAGAGAAGGACCAGAAATATCTGAGAAGTGGAGAGAAAGTGATCAGCTAAGGTTCCACAGACAAATGCAGCAGATCCAACACCAGCCAAAATTCCAATAGCAGAGGCACGCTTTGCTCGAGACATGTTGTCTGCCTGAAAGGGAAGAAACAAAAGATTGAGACAAAGTCTTTATCATAACATTGTCAGCTAAGACTATGTTATGGGGATAAAGTAGAAAACTTAGGGTACATATTAGTTTTCATGACATACTTGATTTTGTCCAGTTATTTTTTACTGCGACCTACTACATACATAACATTTTTTATTCTGCGCGTACATACAAGCTGGCTGATTTAACTCATTTTTATCTGCTAAGTCTTAGAGATCATTGGATACACTAATAGCCTGTTTGGCCAAGCTTCTCCAATTCTAGAAGCACTTTTTTTCAAAAAAAACATGTTTTTTTCTCAAAGTTGAAGAGTTTGGCCACGCTTTTTGAACGAAAAAAAAGTGCTTTTGAAGAGAAGTAGAAAAGTAGCTTTTCTCCAAAAGCATTTTTTTTTAAAAGTACTTTTGAGAAAAATACACTTAGAAACAGTTTTTAAAAGTTTGGCCAAACACTAATTGCTGCTCAGAAGTGCTTTTCAAATTAATTGGCCAAACACAAATTTGAAAATTACTTTTGAGAAAAAACACTTTCTCAGAATAAGTTAGATTCAACGGTAATATCCATTTCAAGATAAATGTCCCAAATCAACCTCTAATGGACTTGCCTTGATTCAAGGTTCACCAAGGGAAAAAAGTAAATTATATGAGGCAAGTTGACTAAAAAAAAAAGTGAAATAGAATGTACTGAACAAAATAATTACCACATAAGCAAGGGCCACACACTGAATACCACCATCACATATCATGCCAGTGAGCGTCCGGAGCACATAGTACACATAGTAAAAGTTGTTGGTCCTCCTATATGCCAATATGACTGCCAATAGTGACTTCAGTTAGTATTTGTAGTTTAGTACAAAGAAACTGCTTCAGAAACAGCACGAATGAAGAAAGACGAATTGAAGTAGAACCTGGGGGAATGATGGACAGAGTAACGGGGATTGTGAGCAAAGCTTTCCTTCCATAGACATCACACAAATTCCCAATTATTGGCATCATTAACACTAAACCAATTCCTATTATCTGCATGTACAAGGTCAAATGGAGAAAGTCACCACATCAGATATCAACACCATATCACTAGAGATGATCCTCCAACAATAGACCAAACCAGCTGGGTTAGGGCCTCCAAATTGAGCAAAAATAAGATAAATGACACAGAACAGGACTTGAAGTTTCCTCATTCAATTTTTACTGCTCTTAATATTTAAATT